ATGTATATATATCCGCTCACAAAAACCTTTGAAGCTAGGTCCTATTTTAAAATCCTTTTTACAGTAGTAACTTTCTGATGATCACAGTTGGAAAGTGCTTGAATTGGAATTTGACCCTAGGCAGTCTGGTTCCAATGTCACAATCTTTGACCACTATGTATATGCCTCCCAGTAGTGTAATATAATTTACATTTAGGGTAATATTATTTATAATGAGTGTAATATAAAATTAATTTACAATTTTTGCTTATAGGGCCAGTTAGCCTTTAGTTACATTAAGTGAATTATTGCTGTATGTGTTCTATTGTAATTTTTTTTTTCATGTTTGTTTTTGAAAGGGAGAGAGATGGAGGGAGGGGCAGAGAGAGAGAGGGAGGGGCAAGAGGATCCAAAGCAGGCTCTGTGCTGGATGTGGAGCTGGGATATGTGAACCATGAGATCATGACCTGAGCCAAAATTGGTGTTTAACTGACTGAGCCACCTAGGAGCCCTCGTTCTATTGTAATTTTAATGATTTATAATCCATTTTCAGATTGTTGCACAGTATTTATATTGCTGAATTACCCATCCTTCCCCTTCTAGACTGCTCAAACTTAAGTGGAAAGATTGAAAGTTCAGATATTCATTGGTAGTCTTTCAGCAGTTTTCTTTCCTGCAAAAACCAGGCATCTCGGCCTCAGTCCTCCGAGCCCCACCCCCAGAATGTGTAGGCAGCTGGGCGGAGCCTAAGGTTGAGCCCTCTCCGGTGACCCCCACAGAATCTAGTGAGCTGAGTGTGGTGCAGAAAAGAGCTTCCGGGTCTGTGTTCTCTCCTTGTTATGCGCTGTTCCCTCTGTCATTACTGGCACCTTCGACCAGTCTTGTTGGCTTTTTCTCTGGTAATTTATTTTTCCGCTGCTTTTGCTGGCATAGTTTACTCGCACTTTCGGACTGACTTTCTTCTTTCTCCGTTTCTCTTGTAAATGGGCAGGGGTGCAAGTGGAAGCAGAATGCAAACTGAAAATAATTATCGTGAGAAACTAGAGACAATTTCGTGAAAAAAGGAATTTGGAAATTTTCCTT